TTTTTTTTTGTTGTTGTTGCGTTTGTTCACCTGAATACCTTTAGCATTTATCTGTCTATCACTTTAAACAACTAATACACTTCAAAATATTTAGTTTTCAACTCCACTTCTTCGAATCACCTCCGGAGATTCCCTGCTGCTTGCTGAAGATTTAGATCAAATGGTTAAAGCAATGCCGAAGCTTGCAATTCCGCCAAAAATTGACTTTACACAGGTACGCTGCATAGTTGAGCTTATCTGGCATCATATTCAGTATTTGAAATAAATGTATTATTTTAGTTGCCACCAGATACAGTTGCTCGGGCTTATCGTGGAGAGCCTATTCCTGGAATTCCCAAAGAGGCTACTGAACTTGGTCTCAAAAATCACGTCATTAAAGTCCACCAGTCTGCTGCAGCAATGTTAAGAGGGGATTCGCCTTTGAACAACCCGACCCATCTTTATGTACTTAATTCTGTCCCCCCAGAGATTATTGCCGATGTAACGAAAGGTTCAAAGTTACCGCATCTAAGCGATGAACAAATGAAGGTTGTAAAGGTAAGCGGAAGAGCTGGTAAGCTTTTTTTTGGAAGGTATATTTTTCTTAATCTCAAAAGTGTTTATTTTAAGATAAAAAGAGAGATAATTAAGCATCTCAAAAGGAATGCATATATCTTCTCGCACCTATCCTTTTCTTTCACAAATTCCACGGAGATTTCACCATAAGCGATTTTCAATTTAGGACTATTTTGACATGAAACTGCCTTCTACAAGAAGTAGTGCGACCGAAATTGAGGCAATTGACTTTTCACCAGACATTCTTAAACTAGTTAAGTTCCTTCCGCCAAACTATGATCTGAACAAGATCCCGAAAGAAGTTATTCAGTCTTTCGCAAGAGGGGAACTGCCAAATCCGCAAAACTTGCCTGAGGATCTCAAGAGTCATCTAGCTGCCAACTTTGAAAAACTTATGGTTAAATTTTCGAAGGTGCGAAGTTTGTATTGTACTCTGTTCACTTAGTTAGCAGCAACCTGGCAACTTTCTGCTAATGCAGCAGGAGCACAGTAAAGCTGTTTTGCTCATTCTGAGCACCCTTATTCCAAAGTACTGTTGAGATCAGACGCAAAAAATCTCACAATAATTTTTTGATATATTATGTCCTTCGTCCAAGTCGGTTCTTTAAAATAGTTTAACAGGTCCGTGACATCAACGACTATTTCCAGGATGAAGATTATGAAAAAGTCATTGAAAAGTTGCCCAGATTTGAGAGGATTGAAGTAACCACTTTTATTCCGTACGACATAAATTACGGAGAGAGAAGTGGTATAATCGGTAAAAGTATAGACAAAACCTTACTGGATCGAATCATCGTCGGAATTCTTTGTTGGTTTTCAGTAATAGTATTTTTCGTTTGTTATTCTAGCGGAATTCTGAGTTTGGAGTTTTATTGAGGAAGCACTCTTCTACGAGCTGGCAACCCATCTATTTCTAAAAGTTTAAGGTTCTATAAGTATCATTTCTGCTGCCGTTGTTATCGTGCTTTGTGTGCAGAGAGGAAAAAAACTCGTTTCTTCTTCCAAAGACGGAAGCGAGGGGGGCGCGTATCAAAGACGTTTCGTTAGTCTACCGCGAAGAGATACAGGAAAGTCGTCAGCTGTTCATCTGCTATCTGGATCAAAAGGCTCAATCCCATCCAAATAATGTACGCTGCGTAACTTGTAGTTGTGTGTAATTAGTGAACTCTCGTTTGGTAACTTTTTTTTTCAAGAGGACTAACTCTTTATGGGACTAACTCTTTATGGCGCTAACAAAAACCGTTTTATAACTGTACCTATCTAATGTGTTTGTAGGATTTTGTACTGCTAGGAGTAGCTAGTTTTGTATAGAAGATTATGCGTCGTGTAATATTTCAGTTAACAACTCTGTATGAAGTGTGAATTCGGAACTACAATAAACGGGTGGTGAAGCAATGCAAAAATCAAAATTCATTTCTTCTCCATTTTAGCAAATCCTCACTTGTTGCTTTCGGTAGAAGTCCTACATGAGTCTTCTACTGAGTTTGCCCCTTTTGTGCAAACAGGTAATGCTTGCACTAAAAGACATGTACCGCTGAAAAGACATCTGAGCAAAATGTAAGCAGACACAGGTTTACTAAAATGTTTATTTCCATTGTGAGCATAATTGCTTTTTCTAATAATTAAAAAAATACTAGTTGGTGTATGCGAGCAGATAAAGCGTAAGAAGTCTCCAACTTTTGAATCAAACGCATCGGTCTCAGCTATTGACACTCACGACCCAATCCGCGCTCAAAATATTAGCTGAATCCGCTTAATTCCCAGATCTATCTTAGCGCCTGACCAACAGATCCGTAGCACAGTCGTTCGCACCGAGTAATTTTGTGGATGGACAGCAAAGCATAGTGGCTAGAGCGAATAATTCACTTACAGCACAGCAAACCTTAAATTTCAAAAGTCGCAAGTTTTTATAATCTTTTCTGCTGAGTTTTGCGCAGTGAAAAAGCGTCCAAGAACAAAGGAGGAAAAACTGGTTATCTCGCATTATGGCCGAGTGTGCAAAGATTTAGCGTTGAGCTGTTCGCGAAATTGTTACTAAACAACGTCAAGAACAGTATTTTTAGTAAACATAGCATCTGCCACCGACCAACTCCAAAAAGAGATGGCGAGTATCAGAGACAGGTGTTAATCACAAATTTTGTATTCAATTTCGCAGTTTCGATTCATTTCTGCGTCAAAACCCAACCTCAACTGAAAACAATAGTACAACATTTTGGCATAATAACCCCTCGACAAACTTTCTACACATTTGGTCAAGATTACCGGCATTAACCGAGTATTTCAGAAAAAACTGCACCAAAAAAAAGCAAAGGTAAGTTATAACCCATACTATTCAATCAGAAACGCAACTCAAGTGTCTCAAATGACTAATCCACAAGCCATTATCCGCTTACAAAAACACTGACGCTAGTAACCTCGTTTATGTGTCAAACAAAACTCGAATATCGTTTCGCTGAAGACTAACACTCAGAGGCATCAGGTGGGACAGTAATATCCCGTACCCTTTTTCTTACGTATGAATATTCCACTGCAGACTGAAGATCCCTAAAGCGCGGTATTTCCAGAAAAAAATCATAAGTGCTAAGTCGAAACGGTAAAAAGGACTAAAATAACCTAAATTTTACAAATATCGGACATAAAATGAATTACACGATCATCTTTTACATCTTCATGTTTCAATCAAAAAATAACTAAAAAACCTAAAATAAAAAATAATTACAACAATAAGCACTTATTTCTTCCATAAAACTGAAATCCATCTTCACCGAAGAATTACAATACCATAGAATACAATTAAGAGCCTTTAAAAATCCCCGATCATTAGATAAATTAAAAAGAGGAAAACCAATAGATTACTAAGTCACTTAGGCCCTTGAAAGAGAGCACTAAAATTACTTCAACCTATTATTATAGTTGAGGCCCAATCGCGAATTGCGCACGCATAAAGTTACTTGAAACGTAACTGCCTGAGTGAGAGTTATAGGTAATAGATAAAATCCAAAAAAAATTAACTTTTTTTTAGTGGGTCGACGACACAAATAAAATCGAGGTAATAATTTGTCGCTGCAAAAATACAAAGAAGTTGAAGATAAACGGTGAAAATAATGACAGATTAGAGTCAATAAAAAGCCTCTTTTTAAAGACTACTGTATTTTTTTTTTGCTTCGTGGTAATCTGTTTTGCAAGTTACAATGCACTAAATGCTTCATGCTTGAAAATAAACAGACAAATTAGCACAGGTAAAAAAATAAAAAGTATTTTCAAAGCAGAATTTCTTTGTTAGCCAAGTTTCGAACGGTAATTCAGTTTGCATCCAGGTTGCTTAGGACAAAAGAAAGATGTATGTCCCAAAGTGTTGCAGCACGTGCATTTCGTCTGTCGAAGTTTTGGACAAGAAATCCTGCCGCTTCTGTCAAAGATGCTGAAACTTCCATGACATCAAGATCTTATTGAAATAGCAAGTTTAAAACTTTAAAAAAATTTATCTAAGAAAAATTGAGTGACAGTTTTTGAGTGCTAACGCATCTGCAGCGTAACTGTCAGGGTGGTCAAAAAGTATTTTTGATTCTAAGGCTTCACCTCTAAAAACGGAATAACTTAAAGTAAAAGTTATCAACGAAAATTAAAACCACTTATAGCAAAGGGTCTTTCAACATTAAAGTGACGGTTCATTTGTGATAAAATAAGAATCTAAGGCTTTTAGCCCCAAACTCAAGAAGCAAATTTCTCTTTTCCTTGATCATTAAAACAACTTTCGTAGAAAACTCTTAAAGTAGCTGAAGGATTAAACTGAAAAAACGAAATTTAAATAACGTTGGATGGTACAACAAGACTAAAGGGGATTTGGTAAACAGATGAGTTGTATTAAAAGATGAAGTCAGGTGAGAAGTTGAACAGTCCACCAGTATAAGACCAACTGCTTGAGCACACTCAACTGCAGTCATTATGCACACATCCGCACCATACCCACCACATGCCATCGCTTATCCAGTAATTTCTCTAATTCATTTAGAAAACGAGAATTTGAAGGCGGCAAAACAAGGAAATCTCCTTACTAGAAACTTATGAAATCGACATTGTTCCAGCAAAAAACACACTCCGATCACAGAAATACTCAATCCGCAACACTTTTTGTACCAATTGGTAAACCTTTTGCCATTTAAACGTGTCAGAGAATACGCGCCAAAGTGAGAAACTCTTTAATCGGTCCAAGGCTAGAACATGACTGGATCCCCTACGACTACTATCATAGTTGCCGCTCTCCAGCTCACTTCAGAGACATGCTTTCCTTCACCCTCAATCCTGGTTTCCCCTCTCATGCTTCACTATGACTTTTCAAAGAGGTTCATGAAAAAAAGCCAGGCGAAAATAGCGGACTAAAAGTATTAAACAGATAAGACACAATACTGCGGGTGTTGTTAAATGAAAGTGTTCTAAAGTGTCAAGTTCAATTATATGTCTTACATTCTTTCTAGATAATTTTCTACAGTTATTGGTAAGTACCAGTTTTCGAAAAACAGATAACCCACTTTAAAATTCAAAAAAAAGGAAGGTATAGCTAGTTTCCAGAAAGAAGACAATAAAATATAATCCTCAATTAATTTATGACGCAAAAATATCCTTCCCGTTACAGTGAACCCACTGCTTTTTGACAGTCAACGAAAGAGTCCGAAGTCATAATCAAGGAACTTTGAAGATTTTGTAGGAAATTCTTACCTTTTTTTCCTAAATAATCTTCAAAATTTCTTAATTATGACTATAGACTTTTTCGTTGACTGTCAAAAAGCAGTGGGTTCACTGTGACGAGGAATATATTTTTGCAAATTAATGGAGGATTATATTTTATATAAATTTGGACATTTTTCCTCCAGGCGCTCCCTTGTCTTCCTTCTCACTCTTTCCTCCTCTGAATCAGCTTCTCTCCAGTTGAATTGTGAAGGCCTTATCCTTGGGACCCTCCCAATCCACCATTATCCCTTTGAGGAGACCAAGAGAAATAACTCTTTGCAGGACACCACAATCCTAGACGAAAAGCCCAGAACTAATTAGATGCTTTGACTCAGACTGTTTCAAACAAATAGTAAAAAATTACCAGTAGACACTTCTTACCTATGAGACTCGCAAAATTTTGAGTCTTCATTGAGATAGAGGCAGAAAGTACAGCAAGAAAGAGCCGCTTCAAAATTATTCCTGTGTGAATCGTTTTCGCATTGGCCTAGAAAATTATACAGAAGTAAAAGCAATATAAAGCCAAGATATTCATTCAACTAAACAAAAGAGTTCTTTATCTCACCACAGTCGTTGGATCCACTTTTCCCCACATCGCTGTCTTGAGTGGGTGACTCACATTTACTGATTTCAGCATTTTCGACTTGACAGGTGTTAGAACATTGATCTGTCACTTCCGCTTTATTGCAAACTTCTGCACACGAACTGCTCTCCTACAGCCAAGCTAGTTTATAAAATAATAAAATAATTTTTTAAAAAGCTAGTAGCACATTCAAATCTTGTGAACTGGGATTCATCAAACACACAGTGCTAAGATTTTACAAAATAAGCCTCAACAAAATCTTACTATGACTTTGACTTCACTATCTCGATTGCCATTATTTGAAACACGGTCTGAACCACAGCTATCATCAAAGGTAGAACTGTGGGAAGCGTTACCAGTGCTTCCAATACTGAAACTGCGTGTACACTTCTCACCACTAGGTGTTAATGGCACATTTTCATTCAAGTCGTCACTCTGTCCTATGACAAAACATGGGCGATTCTTAAACAAATTAACAATTAAGATTTAAATAATTCTGCAGTTGAGACAGAATACACGAAAATCGAAAATGAGGAGGATATACTTTAGAGCTTTATGAGCATGTTCTAACCTTTTAGCAAAAAAGTAACTGAAAGAACTGAAAACCGGTCACCAATTTTGTTACTACTCTGTGAATAAACGTCCAGACACTTCCCCTTCAAATTCCTCAACAGTCTACATTTCAAATGGAAAACATTTCAGCCAAAAAAAATATGCTTATACAAAAAACACGCAACTTATGACTTACTGACCTTTTTTTCATCTACAAGCTTCAATTTGGTAATTGGGAATGACTGTTCGCGACTTGAGGAGCTTGAGTTTCTTGAATCCGAAGCAGCAGATACAGATAGCAAATTACTGTTATTACGGGTATTCTGAATTAAATGGCGAGTTAAAGGTCTCAGTAATGTTTCCACAAAAACTGAAAGATCCTAACAATTATAATTTAAATTTCTAATTCAAAACTAAGAAATAATTAAGAAATAAAGCAAAAAGATATTTGACCAGTCCCCTAAATGACAGTGAATTTGTACAAGTATTACTGGTACTTCCATTACTCTTATCTAGTGTTTATTCATGAGAATTGTTGTAACCAAAAGTATTATTTTTTCCAAGCAGTAATTGCAAACCAATCCTTTATTTACACAATAAGAAAACTTTGATAAAACAGTGGAAAATATTGAACTGTTGATATTACTGAGTGAAAATTAACTCAATAAAACTTTAAAAAATATATAGGATCAATTCTGAGTTCCCTCAAAAAAGAGAACTGACTTAAGAGCCTTGTAGATCTCCCAAACAATTAAATATTAGTACATCAAATGTAATGACAATGATATCAACTTTGCTCTTAGAAAGCTAGGATCAACATTTCAAAATTGAATGTGAAAGAATAAACTGATTTAGCAGAGGGCTCTGCGACATCACTACATTTTCTTATTCCAATATTGCCTATGTGAAGAAAAACTGGGGGAAACAGCCTTTTCAAGGCGGAAATGCAAATTATTCTGAATGGTTACCATGAAGTATAAGACAAATTTACCAAAAATAAAATGTTTTTTAGCAAATGTACTTAATAAATTTCTTTGCTAAAAATTTATGCATTTGTATTTACTTCAGCGGTTTCGAACATAAATGGTTTTCTTAAAAAAAACCCTTAAGCCCTAAGCTATGGAATGGTACTCCAAGTTCTGAAATATGTTAGTTGCGGTTACAAACAGAAAAGATAAGTTAGAAAAGTGTGATTTCCAAGTCCCGCAACCGTAATAAAATTCAAAGAGTTGTTTACAGGAACGGAATGAGGGTATAGCCAAGATCTTTTCAAAGAAATACAGTCTAAAATTAAATGAATAGACAGGCAAAAAATAAATTTGATACCTTTGCATCTTTCCAAAAAAAAAAAAACTGTTTCTTACCTTAGCGTTAGAACGGTTAAATTCGGATAGCGATAAAGTACGTTTAGTGGGTTGATGTTCAACTGTCGTTTGGTTGAACTGCTGGTAATTCTGAGAAGCTAGCCGACTGGTGTCACTTACTCGAGAGGAACTATTTAAATAACACTGATGGCTGCTCCACTTTAACAGATATTCATCACTTGTACAACAAGATTGAAGCTGGCGAGCCTCTCCATCTCCAAAACAAGTTAGGTTTGGCGTATTAAACAAAGACGTGCCCTCGTGGTTGTTTTCTAGAGTAAAAGCAGCAAAATTTTAGTTAAGTGAGAACTTTGATGAGGTTTAAATAAATTTGGTTGAAAAACTATACCTGACAATCCGCAAGATCCAACTGTTGAGTTCACGTAGATTGAAGGTACATTTCGAGCTGTATTACTGAAATTTGTCTGATGTTCCGCATCTTGTAAAACTGAAGGAAGTATAACAGTAGTTGAACTAGCGTGACCTCGGTTATGGTTAGGCCGAAGTGACTGATTGGCAAATACTGGTGATTTCTGAAGGTTCAATAAACAAACCGGTAAAAATTTTTTGCTGAAAGGCTGCCTCAAAAAGAGACCATTGACTTAGGGACTCACTACTTAAAAATACCAATAATCTAAAACACAATTCACTAGTCAAATATGTCCATTTAAGCCTCTCAAAACTGAAATTCAATTGTAACCATTTTTCTGTATTATAAGAAATAAAAGAGGGAAGCTTCCTACAAAATCGCAAGACAAAATTAAATCGAAAACAGAGTTCTTCAATATCACTGTGTAAAATTATGTATTACACTGCTGCAAGTTTGCAGTAGCCAACAGTGCTAATGAAACTCTTTATAAATTAGAAAATTCTGAATCCTATTATTTCAATGATTTTCATAATTACCGGAAGAGAGAAATTCGGATCGTTAGCTGGAAAACCATTACTGGTGTAAGAAATACAGGAGTGTGACGATGTCCCATAAACCTGATGCTGATTGAAAGCGACGAAAGGTTCCGCCACTGCCACAATATGATTGGTTCGATTTAAAGCCATTGGTGATGCTTGCTTGAAACCTAAAAATAGCGCAAACAACATCAATGCTTGCGTCAGTAATTCAAATAAA